ATCTAGCTCACTTTTTGTTTGGTAGTTCACAGTCGACAGTAAGCAGAACATTCCTTTCTTGGATAAATTACCTGTATTCAAAATTTTGTCAAGTATCTATATGGCCTAATGGGGAGGTCATAAGAGCTACAATGCCTGACAGCTTTAAGGAGAAATACTCTTCCACCCTTGCAATAATCGATTGCACAGAAATTAGATGCCAAATACCTTCCAGCCTTCCGTTGAATTCCAAACTGTTCAGCTCCTATAAAAACCATGTAACTCTAAAAGGCTTAGTTGGAATTGCTCCCAGTGGAGCTATAACTTTTAGCAGTCAGCTATATATTGGAAACATTTCCGATCCCGAAATTGTTGAACGAAGTGGTTTCCTGAAGTTAGAGTTTGACAATGGCCGATAAAGGTTTTACAATTGACGACCTACTCCCACTGGGTGTAACCCTAAACATTCCCCCCTTTTTAGAGTTCAATAGCCAAATGACAGCACAAGATGTTATCAAGACTCGAGAAATTGCTTCTGTTAGAATACACGTTGAACGAGCCATCAACAAAATCAAGAATTTTCACTTATGGGATACTGTTGTACCCCTGAGTTTGTTTGGGATAGTAAACCAAATGTGGAGTGTCTGCACCTTTTTATGTAACATTCGGGACCCTTTTATTTCCACTTATCACTGAGTTAGCCAGATCTCTGAGTCACACTACAGAATTTCAGTCAATTTAATAAACGTAAACCTGATGATATATCTCAGGTCAACTATTTTCTAAACCAAGTAAAACTAAGAATGCGATTCGCTTGCTTTCAGTCCCAAACACTTAAAAGATGTAAGTTTTTACATGTAGTTCTAAAAATCTTAAAATCAAAGAATAAAGAGAGAACTAAACTTATAAAAGCTTTATCCTGAAAGCTATCTTATTATACAGACCATGTTGGTTGATACTCTGTTTTAAAAATATCAAGTTAGGTATGCGACTCAAAATTTCTCTTTACTCATGCCAAGATTAGATTGGGGTAGTTAACCCTTCTAATGGTTATCGAACTCTACAAAAGCTGGTGCTATAAATGTTCAAAATAGCTGTTCTTTAGGCCTTCATTCAATACGTTCCAGAATTGAGGATCAAATGTGATCCTCTCCATACTCATGCCTTTGTTAGTATAGATAACAAAGTCACACCAACTTGCTCCCGTATTACGTAGTTGACCCTGTATCTGGAAGTAGTACTGATGCTCCCTTTTAAGCCTTGGCTTTCCACTTACATTTTCTGCAAAGAAACTTACATCTGCACATGCTTCTAAGGGACTCACATGAGATTTGGTGTAGGGAAATTTAACCTCTACAAGCCCAAAAGGCTTGCTACAGCCTCGGTTAATGACCTTGCCATGTGGTGATGCTTCTAACAAGGGAGAGGCCATACTAGCAACAAGGCCAATTTTGAACACTGAAACTGGGTTCCTTGTTGAAAACATATATCTTTCATACTCTTTTAAGGCTACAGGCTCATAGGTTTTTCCCATGTGCAGTTTGTTTGGCAGTAAATGGTTTGGGATGAAGCAGATTGTTTACTAGAGTGTCATGATTCCTTTGCCTTTTTACAATTGTGTGGAAATTAGATGCTGTATACCGAAATTTCCTTTCAGCCTGCCATTCTTTTGAGGCTGCTTGTTCACTTGTTTTCTTCTAAATTGTGCCTTTGTTTTTAACCCGTTTGCTGGATCGCCACCACATTTTAACCAAAAGCGAAGTTCATCTGATTTAAGAGTAGTCAGATTTCTTCCTTGAAGCGATGCTCCGAGCATATCTTCCTCTGTAAGACTCTGAGAAAGACGGCTACTTACATAGCCATAAGCAGCCATATTTCTAACACAAGCAAACAAGGCTAAACTAGCCTCGTTTTAACGTTTATCGCTCCCAGTCTCTTTTCGTTCTGCATAGGGTATATAAAAGATCATATATTTTCAAATCTCTTCCAATGAAACAATAATTGATATTTAGATATGGACTTTAATTCGAAAGTATGTGGCCTATAACGTGTGGTTTTAAATGTTTGAAAGGCGGCATATTTTTTTTTTGGAAGTTGTACCGAGTATTGTTAATCCTGTAAACAAGCTTTATTCTCCCACTTGCAAACTTCAACAGGCCTTTTTCGTTCCGGCAAAAAAAGAAAACATGAATAAGTGAGCAACATGATACATCCTTCCTGCTTACTAAGTATTATTGTTATTGAAACGTATTTTATGAATAAGTGAGCAACATGATACATCCTTCCTGCTTACTAAGTATTATTGTTATTGAAACGTATTTTATTTAGTAAAGATGCGTAACTTAAGCCTGGTTCTCATATGATCGCCACGATCGCTGTGATCGCTGAGAAAAAAAAAATTCAGCGATCATAAGGAAACCACTTTCCAGCGATCGCAGCAACAACGATCGCTGGAAAGTGGTTCAGTCCATATGATCGCTATGATCGCTGCGATCGTTGAGGAAAAAAAAAGTTCGGCGATCGCAGCGATCACAACGATCGTAGCGATCATATGGAAACCAGGCTTTAAGTAGAAACAGTTGCGTTGAAGAATAAAACTGGAAGAAGCTACCTGACACTAATTAGATATTGCTTTATTGAGTGGAATAACACGATATAAGTAAAAATATATTTGGGCAGTTTCATTTGATAATTTTCTTGGAGTTAATAAATGTTAGGCTATCAACATTGACGTTGTATGAAGCATAATTTAATTGTAGATGACGAATAGCCGAGGTGATTTCTTATCTCGTATGAGCAAATTTTCTAGTAATCAACTTGCGTTTTTTTACGTACGAAATGTAAAAGGGCCAAAGTCCAACATCTTCGCGTGCAAATTGTGTGCATGAGTTATTTTTATAATTCTGTTTACTGGATTACTGTGTGATAACTAGAATTCCCTCACGTACGAACCACGAAAGGGGCAAAGTCCGACACTTTCACGTGCAAACTGTGGGATTCTACATCTCACGCTGGATTTTCACAGTAATAATAGTAACTTGAACGTATGAAGACATCTTTAGTATTTTAACTGGTGCCTAAACAAAGGCTCTTTTCTTTTAAGAAGCAAAAATTCATAACATTCTTAGAATTAAGTGGTCAGAGTTAAGGACTGTTTCATTAAAGTAGAATCGCACGTGATAACCTCGTGAATAATGATGATGCAGCCATATACACCAATGATGAAAATCTTAGCTATTCTGTATTCGTCGACCTTCATTATTTTAAGAAACCATGAAGAAACCTTGAAAACTTCGAGTTTTCCCTCTAAGCAACGTTTGGTAAGTTGATATTAATAGTACTTTAACAATTTGGTTTTTTTTGCACCAGATGTCTGAATGAAAGACAACGAAAAGTAAACTTATCGGATCGAATCAGCTATGCGCTGCGGTTCTCGTTTTCATTAATGTATAGCAATACCCAATTTCGCACAAAACATACCCTTAATTTAGGATTAAGACAGTAGATTGCCGATACCGTTACACTGAAGCATTCAAAATCGCTCATGCACGTAAAACGTGCCTATGTTTGTAAACTGGGAGTTAAGATATCTACGAAATACTCAGCACCTATCCTTACAAATGTACTGAGTCTACGTAGCCTGGAGATGAGTATATCAATTCTACTTAGGGGCGGGGGACAGTTTGGGAAGAGCCGAGAATAATATAGGGACTATCGCGACATCGTTGCAGCTTGCGTTTCGGAAGCAAGGATTTTTTTATGCCTCTCACCATTCATCATTTAACAAACTGCGCTTTGAAAGGTCAGACGAAGATTATATGTTAACGAACGTTTTCGTTAAGCTAACGTTATCTTAGAAAAATATAAAAATGGGCCTGACAAATATGGAGACTTTCCAAAAATGTTTCTCAACTGATTTTGATAATTTGGTAACTAAAGTAAACAATAGTATGGGTATGAAATTTATGCAAGAACGCAGGTAAATATACTAAACTTTTGAAAAATGGCAATTTTGGGTGGTAATTTTGACATCAATTTTAGCCAAACTCTAGCCCCAGGCTCCTCTTTGTCCAATACCTTGAGGACAAATTTACGTGCATGAACTGAAAGCTCTATTATAGCACAGTTCATCGTCAAATTCATTTGGCAACACAATTTGCTAATGGCAAAGGAAGATGAAGACTGGATTTTTGTGCTCAAAGGGCAAAACATGAGATGCCCCTAAAATTCCAAAAGTCAGAGAAGTGAGCCAAAGTGGCTTTTGAAATACTTCATTACACCTAGCTTCTGTGCCAAGCTTCAGCCAAATCGGTTGACCACAACTTTTGGCCCCTGGAACAGTTTCAGACGGTGACACTTAAAAGAACAAACTACAGCTCTACGGACTAAGAAGCATACTACCTTGTGACTGATCTTGGAGTAAATCCGAGAAAAATGGAGTTGATTAGGAAAAGATTATAAATAAGACCAAGGTACTACTCTCACCTGTGCTGGAGCACACAAAGGATCCTTTGGCGTAATTGCACATACCGTTTACATGACAGTTGTGCTTTCCTGGTTGACACTCATATATATCTGCAATTAAGGAGTCAGGCACTAAATCATCAACACTGAATTATCTTTTCTTTCACGTCAATTATTGTGACCTACCATAATAGCCATTTCATGCGATCAATATTTCAATATTATTTTCCGAGTTCCAAAAACCCTCATTTTCAAAACGAGGTAAGTTCTTGACTGTTTTCTTCGTTGAAATTAATTTTCATATCAAAAGGCTTCGCACTTCGCCTCATTTTAAAGGAGCTGTGCCACGAATTTTATCAACATTTAAACAGTCGGAAATATCACCAAATTGAGTAAAACATTAAAATAACCGCTTCTAAAGTTAGAACAAGGTATAAATGACACAGCAAATACAAAGGGAAGCAGGGATGGACATACTTTAAGACGATTGAAAGGGAATTCAAGCGTGGTTTTTGAAACCTTGTTCACCTAACAGTTTTTCAAAGTTCATTTTTGCTGTTTTTAACCATGGATACAATGCTTAGGAGACATATTTTGTATGACACGCAACTGTGATTTTGTCATTCACAGGTTTGTCAAGTATTTTAGCGAATATAGACCCGTAGATGGCATTATAGCCTCCCACGCAGGCGTTTTTAGGGGAGCTCGTTTTTCTTCCCAACGCTTCCCAAGAAACGCTTGCGTGGGAGGCTAATGGTATTAAAGACATTATCTAGAAACAAGATGAATTGGACAGCCGTGACACAGCCACTTAAAAACAAATCTAAACTTTGGATAGCAGTTGGATTTAATGTGACTTAACTTCTTTTATTGTTTTGATTTATCAGGCTTAATACTAAGGAACCCTAATATTGGGCTAACTAACCGTAACACTTGAATTTTCCAAGGGTGTGATAGCCTTTCTCTGGTGAGTTACCTGTGTCCCCAAACCTTAACTCTATCACAGGAAGTTGGGATTTCTCAGTAAGGAAACCGCTGTCCTCGCGCCACGTGTAATCATTCTTGTCGCAGTTACATGTAAAAGAGGGGTGTACGCACGAGTTTGGCGACGTCAGCCCGCAAGCGCACTTTTTGTTATCACCTTGCTTAGCTCCTCCCCAATAGAACATACTTTGATTGTGACGTGATACCCACCAGCACTCATCAAGTCTGAAAAGAGCGGCATTATAGCATTCATACTTAATAAACTGTTCGCAGTGAGTTGAAACATCTGCTAGGCCTGCTAACTGTGCCACGCCGATAAGCCCCGTTGTATTGTAGGTGATATGTTTCACGTAACTCCCTGGTGCTTCGTATCCCACAACTAGCGTTCTAGCTTCGCTGTCGTGACCTACCACGGTTACACCAACACCGTTTTTGTCAGTCATGTCACAAAAGACATTAAAAGGTTCGTTGCCTCCATCGCCATCAGGGTCGATGACGTAAGAGCCACTCGTGGCCCGCGGACTTCGAGCTTTAATGTCACTGCAGCTTCTATCTGGATAATTAAGCGAAAGCAAATGCAATTATTAGATTGAATTCACCGAATGTTATTGTTGTTGTTGCTTGGCTTATATTCTGAGACCTAGTAACGCCAACGCCGCAGTATCAGGAGATCTTCCTTCCCGTGAGAGACATAAAGAGCGTTTTCACTCACATGACCAGCAGCCATACAAATTAATTGCTAGTTTTCACATGACGTCCTCAAAATTCAAACTAAAGAATTATCGATCCTCCTGTAGTTTTACTTTGATGAAGTATTGGAGCAGCTAGAACTCTATACTGTATTTATACAAATTTTAAATTTTGCTTTGCCTGGGAGGAGACGAAAAAGTAGGGGGATGTTTTCTCTTTTTTCGGCATTGCGAAGCCGAAGAAAATGTTTGTATATACGCGGCTCAAGTCACCCGTGCGAAAACGATTAAGAAAAAGACGCGGGACTGGTTGATTTCGAAAACTGTGCGCACCTCTGGAAAGATTCTAGCTCACCTCCGGTAATGTCACTCCTATTTCTTAGCTGTCGATTAATTCTTTTGATCACAGATCTCAACTATCAGTTAAAAACAAACTCAAAACTGCCAGTTAAATCTCATCTGAAAAGGCCCCAGGCAAGGTGGGCTTTGCACTTATTAATCTTAAAGGAGAACTTTTACGATTAATAATTATGTCAAACATGGTTAATAATCGTGAAAACCACGATTGATAACTACGTTTGACAGGCTTTGTAGGAGTCTATCTTTTTGTCGAGGGTCGAGGGTCGAGGGTCGAGGGTTCCATGTCGAGGGCGAGGGTGCCATGTCGAGGGTCGAGGGTAACATTTTTTTTTCCAATTTTTTTTTTTGGAAAAGGCAATAATCGATGCAATCAATGTCATTAAAACAAATAAGAAGAATTTAAAAAGCAAATGGCGCGTGAACATCTTCTAGTTGTTGGGTGGGGGAATAGAGAAAAGCTCCGGGACATCCATAAAGAAAATGTGATGTTGTTGTTGTTGTTGTTGTTGTTGTTGTTTAGTTAAAATAGTACGTGGACATTCGAATTCGCTTAAAAGTAAAGAACCTTCTCCCTTCCTGTGAAGGTAGACAGGTTGTGCGTAAAAAAAATGTCATGGAGCTTAGGCAGGGGCACCGAACGACTGTTTTCTGTAAAATATCTGTTCGGAGAAGCAAAAATTGCCTTCAATTTTCTGTTACTCTAGGAAGGCTAAAAATTTCTAGATGGCCGTTCCATTCATGTACAGTTTTCGTAGCTTATCTAATTAATTCCCTACGATTTTCTAAAGTTTAGTTTTTCACATTTCAGCCCCCAACTTGGCCTATTTTTCGTTGAAAAAGGAAATCTAAAATTTTCAGATTAGAAAATGCGATGGAGAGAGGAGTCAGAAAAATTCTCACTTTCGTAAAACCTAAAATTGCATCTAAAATTTTCGGGAAAATAATACTGAGGTGATTTCGAAAAGATTCAAGTTGCCCTAGGACGACCGAACAGATACAACGTTTATAGCGCCGCTTAGAATGCATTTCTAGAGATTTGAAAGTACTCTAGATAAGCGAAAAAGTGTTTTCAATGCATTTGGGAGGTAACCGTGGTTGGGTGCCCCTGCTTCGCGGCTTATATTTCAGTCACGTCTGCCTCTTCTCTGACTTGCTTGGCTGTTCAGTGGTTAGTTTGAATATGGATATTTCACCGATTCTTGTTTTTTAAGCTACCCCGCTGTATGCGACCGAATTGTCGTGCTTTCAATGAAGTAGAAACTCGCCATGAAATTTTAAAATACAAGTCATCGATAATCACCGACACCGGAAATCGTGACCTAGGTACGTAGGTAGGGGTAGCTAGAGTGGTAATTTAGATGGTTGATGCTATCGCCCGAGTCGCGCCGCAATAAAAATACCCTTAAATTACCAACAATAAAAAACTTGTATTCACAGTTCAAGATAAACGGCATTGTCGCGGTACTCCGTTTTTTCCTTTTCATGTCCAACTTGGCAAAACAACAGATCTTTAGTAGAAATGTGTCAAATGTAAAACAATTAATTAGATCAATGGGAGACATGGACCGTACGTCTGTTTTTTTCCTATTCACGTCCACCACGTCCACGTTCACAAATAAATATGACCGATTGTGGCCTAGAAAGAGATATGGTATTTTAATGGGAAAGCGTCGGCAAATGCCGATGTTCACCTCACCGAAAGTCGCTACCATGCATTATTCTATTTTAAACCTCTGCGTTAGTGGGTGGCGATTTCCATGCGAGTTCGCGCATTTTAATAGCTCTGCAAAAAGATAGACTCCAACGACGATTGCATTGTTCGTTTATGACACATTTTATGACACATTTTACAACGCAATAAGAGTTTTTTCCTTCCATTCTTGTTGGTTGGACCAGAAATTCATAATTCAACGCACTCATTCTTGTTTTACGACATTTGAAATTTTGTTTACAACATTTTTTTTTTAAATCAGTGTTTTCAAGTAACGTGTTCTGTTCGTGGCATGGGTTTCCGGGGTGTTATAAATGTAATTCTTCGAAAACAAATTGGGATGTCCCGGAGCTTTTCTCTATTCCACCCCCTTCCCGCCCCCCCCCCCCACCCAACAACTAGAAGATGTTCACGCGCCATTTGTTTTTTAAATTCTTCTTATTTGTTTTAATTACATTGATTGCATCGATTATTACCTTTTCCAAAAAAAAAATGGAAAAAAAATGTTACCCTCGACCCTCGACATGGTACCCTCGCCCTCGACATGGAACCCTCGACCCTCGACCCTCGACAAAAAGATAGACTCGCTTTGTAGTTGTTAATCGTGTTTGGCAGGCTTTGTAGTTATTAATCGTAAGATTGTCAATTTCTCCAGTAAAGCTAACTTAAAAGCTAATGGCCACCATTACAGAAAAAAAAAACAAACAAACTCAAAGTCCTTTTTTCACTCGGCAGCGTTCAAGTCGGTGTTCAGATTACAGCAACAACAAACAATCGGTTTTCACTTTTCTGGCTGAATGTTAGTCTGCTAGACAGCCGTTTTTAGTGTCGTCGCGCAACGTTCCTCCCCACTAACGGTTGCTGAAAATCGAACCACATTTCTTTTCCCTTTGTGTTGGTGGTCTAACGAACAAACCAATGCTGTATAACAAACCTGACAATACGTTAGCCTCAGGGTGCTAGGAGCGAACACGCTTCTCAGTTTTCGACAAATCAATCAATTGTCGCTGAGTTTTGATGGGCTCTGTGTCTGCAAGGAACGAAAAGGTCATTTGCAGAAAAGTTTGTTTGAAGCGGGTAACAAAATTCCAAGCGAAAAAAAAAAGGTTTGATAGGCCTACAAGACTCTTACCAGCATCAGTTGGTTCTTTTTAACGTGCATATGTGTGATGAATTTCATGTGCCGGATGTGCTCATTGTGTTGTTTTACATGTGAAAACTGTGAAGATTAAACTCCCAGTGGTACTGATTCAAACAAAAGCAATCTTATAAATCATCGATTAGCGATTTCCCGAAACTATACAGGGGCACCCAACGAGGAGATAGTTCAAAACCACTTAACATAGCATTGTCGAACGTATTTTAGTATTCAAACGGTAGATATAGTCATATTTTTATCCCCTAAAAACTTTTCATCTGTTCGGATTTCCTAGCTGAAAGTCTAGTGATCCGAAGATTATAGGGATAAAAACTTACCTTCTCGAAAATTTCAGCCAGGAAAAGGTTCCCGAAAATTCTAGGTGGCCTTTTTTAGGGTCAAAATCCGTTAAAAATGGGTAATTATACCATTTTGTAGATGTCCGAAAATCCTAGGAGAGGTAGGCAAGCAAGAAATTTTACAACAAATGCTCCGAAAATTCTAGATCTCAAATCGTCTTCCGAACAGATATTTTCCCGAAAATTGCCGTTGGGTGCCCATGACTATACCCGGCAACTTTATAAGCAAATCCATGTTGTGCATCATATTTGCTCGCCTTGCTTGCTGTTGCTGCTTATCTCAAAAATTTTGAAAGGACTCGACTACGACAACACTACTCTAGTTGATTGCTTGTTTTCACTCGACGATTTTTGATTGTTCTGTCATTCACACATGGGGCACCGATATAAGCAAAGCTGTGATTGGAGGAGTCACCACACCGCAAACGTGGCACGAACACCTTCCAGAAAATGGGAGCTGGATTCTAATGAGCTAATCGCGGGAAAGAAATGTGGTTCAATTTAGTGGGGAGAAGCATTGCGTGACGACACTAAAAACGGCTTTGTAGCAGACTAGCTGAATGTCAATATTAAAAGCTTCACAAAAATACATACCAAAAACCTTTTCGAGAGGTCAGAGTTTCCATTCAGCTTCTTTTTTGATCGATTTTTTGTCTACGAAAGTTAGTTTCTTTCGCTCTCTTTTTTCGATAAACTGACATGGCGAGCGGGCAACCTCGATGAGTTTGTGTACGAAATTATGATAACGGATAAGGCAAATGTTAATCTAAATTTTACAGTTCAAATTATTCTTCCTTTGAATTTTAACTTGGAGAGAGACATTTTTAAAATCCTTCCCCAATTTTCAGCAGTCCCTCTTGGTTCTATTGCTAAACTTCTAGCCGAGACTTGTAATAAAATAAAGAATAGTCAGGAGAAAACTCCTAGCGGCAACTCCTGGCTTTGCGCCAAAATTTCAAACATGCCCGTTCTTACTTCTTGAGCTATTTTGAAAAAATAGCTCACATGTCAGTGGTGTGAGCGTATGTATCTTTGTGGCTTTGTGGCTTTGTATGGCTTCGGATGTTTGTTGCAAGAACCAATACGGTTGAAGGTACTTTGAGTTGATGCTTAGGAACCAAAGAGGTCTTGGCATCTATTGAACATGGCATTGCTAAAGGTCGAACTAGGGCACTTTGAGACCGCCATCTTGATTCTTCACAATTTTTTCGTCTTTTTTACGGCCACAGGTGTTTAGAACGATTAGATTAAATATCCTCATCATTCGCTGTGTACAGTGATGCAGCTGTTTAAGGGTTCATGTTTTAGTGTGGATGTTGCTTCAAGACATTTCTGACCGAATTCGGCTATCGCGAATGGTACAACGCACGTATTTGTGAGTACTGTTTCACCTGCTTCAAGGTAGAGTATACACCCTATGAAAAACGAAAAGAGACTGGGAGTGATCAACTTGAAAACGAGGCTAGTTGGGCCCGGTAAATAACAATGGCTGCCTGATGCGAAGAGCGCCAGTTTTTGAAAATGCCGCAAAATTGTTGTGTGCCAAACTGTACCAAAAAGAAATACAGAACCGAAAACGGGAAGAGAATGTCTTACTTGAAGTTTCCAGACGACATTATCCTCAAAAAACGTTGGCTCCATGCCATTCGTCGAGACGAAGGAAAAACGTTTAGAGTCGGCAAAACACGAAGATCTGTTCCCGTCATTTTAAGCCCGAGGACTTGATTAAAGCTATCGGAGGTCAGCGTGTTTATGTAAAGGCAGAGGTGATTCCATCTCGATTTTCGTGGTCCAAAGGTTCTCCGAAATAGAGAGCACCTCCTACATGTTGCAATCTTCCGCAATCTTCAGACAAGGACATCGCCTTATATGAGGGATTTCCTAACTTAGCAACATTTAATGCTGTGTTTGAATTTTTAGATACTGATCGAAAGGGGAAGACATTAGGTACTGTTTATCAAAAGAAAGAACTGTCCAAAAGGAGTTTTAAGATAGTGGAAACGAGGAACCAGAGGGATGTACTAGCATAGGTAGACGAAGAAGCTTAGAACCCAGAGAGGAGTTCTTCCTTGTTCTATGCAGACTGAGAAGGGGATTTGCAGAAAAACATCTAGCTTACTTTTTGCTTGGTATTTCACAGTCGACAGTTAGCAGAACATTCCTTTCTTGGGTAAATTAGATGTATTTAAAATTTTTTCAAATATCTATATGGCCTAATAGGGAGGTTATAAGAGCTACAATGCTTGACGGCTTTAAAGAGAAATATTCTTCTACCCGTGCAATAAGCGATTGCACACAAATTAGATGCCAAATGCCTTCCAGTCTTCTGTTGAATTCCAAACTGTTCAGCTCCTATAAGAACCATGTAACTCTGAAAGGCTTAGTTGGAATTGCTGTCGGTGGAGCTATAACTTTTAGCAGTCAGCTATATAGTGGAAACATTTCCGATTGTGAAATTGTTGAAGGAAGTGGTTTCCTGAAGTTAGAGTTTGACAATTGTGACACCATGATGGCCGATAAAGGTTTTACAATTGACGACCTACTCCCACTGGGTGTAACCCTAAACATTCCCCCCATTTTAGGGTCCAATAACCAAATGACAGCACAAGATGTTATCGAGACTCGAGAAATTGCTTCTGTTAGAATACACGTTGAACGAGCCATCAACAAAATCAAGAATTTTCACTCATGGGATAGTGTTGTACCCCTCAGTCTGTTTGGGGTAGTAAACCAAACGTGGAGTGTCTGCACTTTTTTATGTAACATTCAGGACCCCCTTTATTCCACTTAACACTGAGTTAGCCAGATCTCTGAGTCACACTACAGAATTTCAGTCAATTTAATAAACGTAAACCTGATGATATATCTCAGGTCAACTATTTTGTAAACCAAGTAAAACTAAGGATGTGATTCGCTTGCTTTCAGTCCCGAACACTTAAAAGATGTAAGTTTTTACATGTAGTTCTAAAGATCTTAAAATCAAAGAATAAAGAGAGAAATAAACTTACAAAAGCTTTATCCCGAAAGCTTTCTTATTATACAGACCATGTTGGTTGATACTCTGTCTTAAAAATATCAAGTTAGGTATGAGACACAAAATTTCTCTTTACTCACGCCAAGATTAGATTGGGGTAGTTGAAGGGGCAGTCTCATGAGTTGCGCATGCTCGGGAAATCGTCTTCACAACGCTCTTAACGCTCTTGTTTATCATGGCCGCCATTATGGATTCTTTGGCATTGTGGAAATATTTTGCTTGGAATGTCCTCGATTTCTTTAGTTTGACATGTAGAACGCGCCAAATCGAACTCTTATCGTTAGGTAAGATCACAAGGATGTAGTTGTAAGAGTTCTTTCAGCACGAAGCGCAAAGGAAACAGTAACAGAGGATGTTCGTGCAAAGGCCAGTGCGGAGACAGTTGTAATTCCAGTTGTAAAAGTAGGGTAAGTTGTCATCGTAAGAAAAATATAACGATTGCATTTCTAGTTTGTCTGAATCTTCTCTTCGGTAGATATTCATGGACGGTCATTTTTGTGCCTTTCAGGAGTCGCAAGGAGGTGCGACCACGAGGAAATCTTGGCTTTCGCCTGGCAGTGTTTTACCATTCAACTTATTGAGAACTGTTTCGGTTTTTTTTACCATCGTGACCAGTGGCAATGCTAACAGATTCCAGACTTAAGTATTGCTGTATTGCTGTTCCCCTGAATTGTATTCCCTACTGTAATATTGTATTAAGTACTCGATTTAGTACCCTAGCTTTTTATTGAATGCGCTGATGGAGGTGAGCTTGTGTTGATACGAACCTCCCTACTTTTCTTATGGAAAGTATGCATAACAATAATTGTTAGCACAAAAGTAACATGATTTACATAATAAAGCCGGAAGGGTTGTATTAAAACACAGTCAACTCTTGCCTCATTTCCAGCTGCAACTGTAAAAACGGCTACCAGTATTCCCTTTAAAAAGCACATATGTGAGACGCGAAATTTGATGCTCATCACTTCCAGGGCTAAACGTATAACTCCAAAAGTCAGGTTATTACCTTTGTTTTGTTTTACATCACTCCTGAACATGGTACATTTTCTCAGATATTTGACATGCTGTGAATCAATAACAAGGGAGCATTTTTCCTTAACTTCCAAAAGTACTAGTGGTTTCCTCAATAAAAGTGTAAATAGTAATGTTTGAGTTCCCTTATATATTGTTTATTCCTCAACGATGCTGGGCTTGCAAAATATAGGGGAGGTTGGGGGTGGACTGATCAGTTAATTAATTCATGGAAAAAGCTATTTAATACACATGCATTCCAGTTCAGTCTGTAGGTCATAGCATATTTTCCCAAAAGCAGATGACTTACTATTTTTCTAAAAGTTGCTAATGTCTTAGGGTTGAAATTGACAGTTTTTCTTACTATAATATTAATATTAATATATCAGTACCACACATGTCTTTCATTGTTCACAATTCCTGATGCTGTACAAAAATTTCACTTTGAAGAACATCAGTATTTCTTTCTTCTTGATGTCTTGATTCTCATAAGATTTTACTGTAAATTATCGATTAATGCAAAATGTATAAAAACTAAAGAAAGTGATAAATCTTAGTCTGATAACACTATGACTTAACTCTGTTGTATGCATCTCAAAATATGACAACTCAGTCTTCCATGGGTGATCGATTTTTCTAAAGATCACCTTTTTCTGGTTCACAGCTTTTTGACGGTGCAGGTAAACTGAACCGATTCTCCCACTTGCACAATTCTGCAGTGGGAGGTGGTTGTATGGCTGCAATGGATTGGGGCCAACAGTTGGGGATCACTTGCATTTAGAGAGATATTCCTTGTCATGATATCCACATCATGTAATCTGGCATGTAATATGTTAGCAATGACGAGGGGAATAAATTCATATCCCTTGTCTGCTGTTGTGATCTTTTTGTCCCATTACTTTGTCTGCTGATATTACTTTCAGCTGAACATCTGTTCTCCTGGTTTTTTGGGGGGTTTGTGGCAGGGGGAGGTGAAGGTGGTAGTTCCAGTCAATCACTTCATAGCATTTTCTTACTCTGTAGGCCCTGTAACTGTAAAATATTCAAGTTTGAGAGTGAGAAAATATTTTCACAACTTAAGAAAATGCTACTAAACAGAAAATCAAGGCCACACTAGAACACTGCAGTTCAATAGAGAATCAGCCAATGATAGTGATGATCATTAAGATCCTCATTACCAGCACAGTCAACAAGCAATTACCTGAAAGATATGGTCTTTGATGCCTACAGCAGGGATAGGCTATTAGCACATTCAATACTTCATGTGTGCC